CGCGCTCAGCCAGTGAGCGCACCGGCCATCCCTATATAGGATCCGAACCTGTGGCAGGAGCATTGCTGTGCTCACCAGCGCCCCACTCTCCCGAGTGAGCCATCGCGCTCAGCCAGTGAGCGCACCGGCCATCCCTATATAGGATCCGAACCTGTGGCAGGAGCGTTGCTGTGCTCACCAGCGCCCCACTCTCCCGAGTGAGTCATGGGATCGGCCCCAACTTAGAAAATATTTAGAACTAAACAACACAAAAATATTACATAACAAAACTTGGACACTACCCAGGTAGTATTCAGGATAACTGGAGTGGGATATGTGAATAAAATAAAAATTTTCCCTTTCTGGGGAAAAATTATAAAACTTTACTTAAAGGCATAAAGGGATATTTTAATAAATGAAAAGACATAACACATTCATGGAATGGAACATTTAATATTGTAAAGATGTCAATTCTCTTCACTTTAATCTTTAGATTTAATGAATCTCCAATTTAAAAATCTCGAAAAAATTTTATGAGGAACTCAATAAGCTGAGTCTAAAATTTATATAAAAGAACAAAAGGCAAAGAATAGACAAGACACTCCTGAAAAAGATTACTTAATCCCTTATAGTAATTAAGACAGAGTAATACTGGCATATGGATAGACAATTTGACCAAAGGAACAGAATAAAGAGCCCAGAAACCAGCCAGTGCAAATTTTGGACAATGGTAGCAATGTAAGTCAGCAGGGAAATGATGGATTATCCAATAAATGGCCCTGCAACAAGTTATTATTCAGATGCACAGAGAAAGAGAGAAAATTGGAATTAAAGACATATGTGAAAGGGACATCTTCAAAACCAAAAGATAAAAGAGAAGAAAAGCACTATAATATTGGGGCAGGCAAAGATTTTTTTTTAATGCAACATAAAAAACACTAACCAAAATGGGAAAAGGTTAACAAATTCAACCAAAAAAAAAAAAAAAGGATTATAAGCAATAGATGGATTGCAGTATGGAGCATAGTGGGGGAGGGGGAGGAAGCATATTTTTTTCCTAACAAGAGGAAGAAAGTAGTGAGAAACTGAAGGAAAAATAACAATAACAACAAAAACTGTATAAGAAAGTCAACCCAGTCATAAAATCAATGGCATAAATTTGAACAATCAGTGGTGTGTAAGAAAGAAGGGCCCAGTGAACTCTAATTAGAAAATAACTGCATAGGGGTGGTGACACCAGAACTACACCGAAGGATGTACAGAATCCCAGCACACTATCTGACTGTGTAACAAACCATATTAACTGTAAAAGCAGTTATTTGGTTTTCAACTTCTAGATTTAACCCCTAGTAAGTTTCAGAAGACCTAGTGATGGTCATATAAGAAAACAGAAATGTTATTATCAGCTTTGACAACATAGGTGGCAGAAGTTAGAAGACAAAAGGAGAAAAAAGAAGTAGACAGAAGCTACTAATTTTCTCAGTTTACACAGTGGAAGTCAAAAGAAGTTACAAGAAATAGTGTTTTAAGAATATTATTTAAAATTACAAAGGTAACCAACTTAAAAGTGGTGCTATAATTAACGAAAAACTGGGATGGGTTGGTATACAGAGTTATAAATGAGGTTGTTTCCTTACACCACAAAAGGAATCCAATAATGTCTAAAACTGAGAAGTTAAGAAATGGCGCTCTATATATATTATCTCAAGATAATATAACTACTAGTAGATCTAAAACCAAGACAAAGGACAGTGATGTGTGGGAGGGTGTATGTGCATTTATTATAAGCTCTCCTGTATTACTGAACTTTTTATCCATATGCATGTATTCTTTTAATAAATATAAAAGGGTTTTTTTAATTATTAAAAGAAAGATGAGAGAAAAGATCAAGATCCACAAGAACTCATTTAGTCAAACTACCTTCCATTATGTAGGTAAGAGAAAATGAATATCCTCTCCATCAGATTTATCCAGCAAAGTAAACTTCATATCATTCAGAGTAAAGAAATCAGTCCAGAGGCTGAATCTCATCCCTCATTGTTTCTCTTCCTCCTTACACCTTTCCTCTTTCACTGTTTCTCTAACTTTTTTGTTCTCCTTTAGCTTTGCTTTACTTAACACTGGAATAAATAAATATTCAACTAAATATATATGAGGGTATTCAAAATGTTTATGGAAAAAGAATTGAAAGATAGTACGAATCTTTCCATGACCTTTTTGAAGTACCCTTGTATATAAAACACTAGTTTTATTTATATAGTATAGTCTTATATTTTCTAATTTTCTCTCAAAACAAAAAGAACAAATTAAGTTGATTTTCATTTCCATGTCCAAACTAATTTAAGTCTCTATGGACATTATTGCTGTAGAGAAGAAATGATCTCTACCACTGATTTAAGAGAACACACAAACAACAAACAGCAATCCAGCTAAAACCAGCACAGTAATTACTCTTCAATGTATTCATGTTTCTGGAAACTGCTATAATACTTAGGCTTCAGGAATCAGGAGCTAGGTTTCCATGTAGATATTTATGGTGATTTAAAGAGATGAAAGCTTGAAGTCTAAGTTCCCCAAAAAGAAAATAAAAACCAGAAAGTTAAATGTTCATGTTAGATGATATTTGGTTTTGATCCAAAAGAAGTCTGCAAGGCCCCATTTCAGTTTGATCCATATCCACATTCAGGTGTATACTTACACTATATGGGCAAGGTCAAGTGGTTTCTCTGGTTGCTCAGGAAAAACAGGATGTGGGGGTTCTCTGGTGGGTACACACCCCAAAGATTTACTAATTGCATGGCTCAGCTTCTTTGCAGGGGATTTCTGTGTCAAAGTAGAAAATAAGGAAATAAGGAATTAACTCTTCAAAAGGAAAAAAAGAAATTCAAAAGAACTTGGTGACAAGAGCATAGAAAATACCTTTTCAAATACAAATCAAGTTTCATTACAGTCAATATTATTGAACCCTGCAGAAAGAAACGTGAAGTTATCCCAAGGTCATTTGTGGTCTCTTCATTTCAGCAGTTGCTCCTTCATTTCTACTATAAAGTCACACTATCAGGTTAATGTGAACTTTCCTTCTGGACATTTCTATGTGCCCTTTGAGGGAATTCCCTCTTTTGATGCTTCTGGATCATTTTTGGAAAGATGATAATTTCCCAATCAAAGTCAGAACTTTTTGACGGTCTATAATACGAAAAGATTAGGATAATGTTAAGAGTATATGGTTTATGGATGTTAGCAAATTAGCTGACTCAGCCACATCCCAAAACATTAAAATACTCCCAAATAAATGTGAGGGATTTGGTATTAAGGGTCTGGCTATGTAGACAGAAACAAATGAGTATACTTTCATACACAGGCAGTCAGCATCAGACCTGTGGCTCTAAATCATGATATGCTAAGAGTACAAAAATAACATAGTATACCAATACATTTCTCCGGAAGGTACAGTAATACACACCAAATCCAAAGACTATTAAGTCTAAGATTGAATAGTAAATATGCACAAAAATAAACAATATGCTACAATTAAGTTACACAGAACATTCACTTCTAAAACCCATAGAGAAGGCTCTTTATATACAGATTTTATTGTCCACCCAATTCTCTTTATATAACACTGTTGTCTGAGATTTTTCCAAGCAGGATATTAACTGCAAAAAAGTTTAAATATTTCATTCTACTGCCTCTGCAGTTTATTAACATATGTGCCACTTTAATTGGAGAACAGACCTTGTTTGCAGCTGTGTGCCTCATCAATACATCTCCACTTGACTTTTATATGCTGCTTGCTGTAGCATTTCAACACAAAACAAATGCACATCTGTTTGCCTTTAAGACCATATAGGCAAAGTTAATTAATACTTGTTTATAATAAAGACTGAGTAATACCAATTTCTTCAGAAACTTCATATATTGGCTCCAAATCACCTACGACTATCCCCTTCAAGGAATTAAATTCTGGGAAAGGTCTAGATGTAACCTAATTTCCTGCAAATCATACAACTCCAAACAAAGCTGAAATTCTGAACTTCTCCCCTAATGTTTTCCATTTTCTTTTTGCAAAACAACTAGCTATAATGTGACTCTGAGTCTTCCCCCTGTAATCTATCTTCTGCACTGCCCCTAGAGATCATGTCACTCTTCTGCTTAAAACCTTTCAAAGGCGGGCTGGCTGTTTAGCTCAGTTGGCTAGAGTATGGTGTTACAACACCAAGTTAAAGGGTCTGGATCCCTATACTGGCCAGCTGCCCCCCAAAAACCTTTACAAGGCTGATAATCACTTACAGAATAAAATTTAAATAAATGCCATCACAGTCCATACAAGAGCTTTCACATCCAGCTCCCACCTCTCTCTCCTTTCACCTCCACTAGTGTGTGATGAGCTGTTCACAGTTAACCCAATACACCATGTTCTTTTAGGTCTCTATCCCTTGGCACGGGCCTTTCCCAGGTCTCCCTTTTCCAATCTTTCTGTAAATATTCTACTCATCTCTCAAGCCTGCTTACAAGTATCCCTTTCTCTGTGAAGACCCCTCACTGCTCCATAAGGCAGTGACTCCCTTTCCAGGCTACCTATTTACCTTGTACATATTCTCACTGTTGCACTTACTGTGCTATTTTGCAATTTTTCATTTATTTGTCTATCTCTGTTAGACTGCGGCTTCTGAAGGGCAGGGTCTACCTCTTATTCATCTTTGTATTTCCAGAACCTGTCCTGTAATAAACTATGTTATTTGAATAATTTTTTTGTCTAGATGAATTTTCTAGATTGCTTCTTCCTCACCAAACCACATAAGCTTTATGCTGTATCTGAGAACCACCCGGACCATTAATTCAAGAAATCTATGTGAGACGTATTATCATATAGACTACTTTAGCTCTATCCTAAATAATAATGCCCATGAAATACAGGTTTCATGTATATACTTTATAATAAGCATTAAAATATCTTCATAACTATTAAAGAAAATAATGTTAGCCTTTGTATCACCTCATATTCTCTAGCAGTATGCTTGTGAAGCTCTTGAAAATACTGCTTTAAGACCAGTTTTAAGATTAGATCCAATTTCAAGCTTCAAAAGTATAGAGAGAAAGGTAAAATCAACACATCAAGGTCCATTTCAAATAATTAGAGCACATCAAGAAATACTTGATATGTTATGGGAAGGAAAAAAACCTGAAATAAATACATATAAGAATTAGACTATTAACCAAGGTCTATGACCAAACCAAGTAGGATATTAGCCTGAAATTTTTCAAGCCATGCATTCAATTAGGTTGTCTAAACGTATAAATAAGTGACTTCCTTAAAAAAGATCTCACAGTGATTATGATATGGACCTTACGTGAATTTTGTTAAGGAGTTAGTTTAGGTCTAATAACAAAGTTTCTAATAACAAATTTTCCAAGCATGAGTTTGAAAATGCTGCAAGTGCAAAGACAGGAACATTACCCTTCTGTCTATTCAGCCCTTAGTACAATGCCCTGGACTTGGTAGTCAATGAATAAAGATTTAAGGAAGTGGCGAAGAGAGTAAGGGAGGGAGAAAAGGAGTCCAGCCTAGGAATTGTGTCTCCTACACTTCATTTAAGCCACCATGCCAGAGAAGCTCTTTTTGGTCTCTGTACTTTCCCGACTCTAAAACTGATATAATGGAGAGGACTTAAAAAATTAAATCTCCTCTAAACCCTCTTAGGCAATGATTTTTTTTTTTTTTTTTTTGCATTTTCCACACCTAATCTACTTTACCTAATTTCAAAACATTTCCTATCATCTCTTAAAAATACTACAGCTTACTTTTTAAAAATATACCAAGGAGGGTATAACATATGTATGTACAGTTTGAAAAGTTATAAAACAAATACTCATCTTCCCACTATTCTGCCTGAGAAACGACATTACGGTCACTTTGAGGCCTCCTTGTGGGCCCTTATCCTAATATATCCCACTCCCTCCATGCCTCCTCCTGTCCTGGTAATCACTAAACTGGATTTGGCATTAATCATTTCCTTGATTTTATTATTTTAGCAATTATATATAAATAATGCATTGTTTAGATATGTTTAAAACATACATAGGGGCCGGCCCCGTGGCTCACTCGGGAGAGTGCGGCACTGGGAGCACTGAGGCCGCAGGTTCAGATCCTATATAGGGATGGCCAGTGCGCTCACTGGCTGAGCGTGGTGCGGATGACACCAAGCCAAGGGTTCCAATCCCCTTACCGGTCCCAAAAAAGGCCAAAAAAAAAAAAAAAG